ATCCTCCTGACACACCAGGAATATCGGGAGCTTTTGAATATGAAAATACAACCTCAAATTCAAATACTCCGTACACTCCTTCAGCTCAAACTCCATATATGACACCATATGAGGCTTCACCGCATACTCCATATAATTCTGATGATAACTCTAGGTACCAAAAGAAATTTCGTGGTCGCGGTCGTGGACGAGTATCGAATCCCAGAGGTCGTGGCAGAGGACGTAGCAATATACAGAATAAAAGAGATTGGAATAACTCGGCTAATAATGCTTGGTCTACAGGTCATACAACTACTTCTAATGATTGGAAAAACTCTATCAATGATGCTTGGCCAACAGGCAATACAATTAATTCAAATGCTGATGATGCTTGGCCTACAGGTGATTCGGCTGGTTCGAATGACTGGAAAAAATCTGCTGATGATGCTTGGTCTACAGGTCATACAACTACTTCTAATGATTGGAAAAATTCTGCTGATGATACATGGTCTACAAGCAGTACATCTAGTAGCCGCTATCGTGATCGAGATAAGGGTTGTGGTCGTGGTCGATCATCAAATTTCAGAGGACGTGGTAGAGAACGTGGCAGAGGACGCGGCAGAGAACAAGACAGGGGACGTGGTAGAGGACGTGGCAATACGCGAAATAAAACAAATTGGAATAACTCGGCTGGTGATGCTTGGCCCACAAGCAGTGCTACAAATTCGAACGCCGATGACTCTTGGCCTACAGGAAATACAATTTATTCGAATATTGATGATGCTTGGCCTACGGGTGATACAGCTACTTCTAATAATTGGAAGAATTCTGCCAATGATGACTGGCCTACTGGCGATCCAGTTGGTTCTAATGATTGGAAAAATTCTACCAATGATATTTGGCCAACAGGCAATACAATTAATTCAAATGCTGATGATGCTTGGCCTACAGGTGAAACGGCTAATTCGAATGATTGGAAGAACTCTTCCAGTGATGATTGGCCTACTGGAAATTCGACTACTCCAAAAGACCCGTAAGTTAATTCATGACATTACTTGCTATGCATTTTAAAGTTAATTCAGTAATTAAACATATTTTACAGAAAGAGAATATTGAAGAAATAATCTACTTTATCAACTTTTATTTGTATTACCATGTAAAGTAATTAATCTCACTCCATTTTTTTTCAATTTTAGATATAATAGTCCGATATATAATGATCCAAGAAGACCTCAAAGATACGGAAATGAAAGAAGTCGATCAAATAATCGAAATCGTTATTCAGGAAGATCACCAAGCGACACACCAAATACGAATTCTAGTCCTCAGAGTATGTTGCTTGGTAATGACACTCCTCTCTATGATGAGAAATAATATTCTAAAGTTGGTACAATAATTTCTTCAAGTTCTTTTATTTCAATGTATCTTTTTTTTAATAAATTTAATATTTTGAAAATTTTTGTAAGAAAATAAATAGTATTTGATAAGTGAAATATACATAATGTAAGATATTTTCATATTTGCATTTAAAATGAAACTTTAAAAGAATGAAACATATACATTTAAGTGTTACAAGTGCATATGACAAATTATTAAAATTGTTCACTATTCTCACGTGGTGAGTTTTTATAAAAATAAAAATGTACTTTCTCCTTATTATATTTTAGTTTTATTTATTTATTTATTTATGGCTCCACATGATAAATTAATTTTAAGAAAGTAATAAGAACAAATTTAAATGAAATTATCTTTTCTTTTATTACCAACTAAATATCGTATAAATCAGAATACTTCTTGTAAATAATATATTTTCAATAGTATAATTTATCCAGTCGCAAAACTTAATGTTTAATTTTTGAAATTTACATCTATTTAAGAAAATGTAAATTACAAAATCAACAACGTAATTTTAATGATTTTATTTATACAGCTGTAAAACATTGGCAATTTTTTTTACAACTTTCAAAACATATTTAAAATCATCTTAGTAAATTTAAATATTATATAAAGTTCATTTATTCATATTTATTTCATTACATTATTTAGAATAAATTGTTAAATCATTATCCAAGACTAAAATTAAGTTAAAATATTACATAAATTCTAGTATATAAGACGACAAATCGACATTTATTTACAAATGAAACTGATTTTGGAGTAGATTAAAAGTGCCTCATGTATAAATATTTACTACTTTTACAGTAATTTATAAGACATGAAGTATTTGACGTTAAATTCAAGCAAACGATGTCTAAATATAAAATGATTAATGCCTAAATAAAATTGAAATTATCTATTTGTTTATTAGTAATATTTATAATTAAATGAATGGATTTTTTTTATCTCAAGTTTTCTCTGAGAATTCAAATAATTTCGAGAATATAGTCTGGTAGATAATAGGTTTAATATTCTTATTTAGCTGATGTGGTATAAATTAAACAGCAACTGGAAAATTATCAATGATATCTTTGAGTTCATATCATAATGAAAGTTAAAAACAAGCAATAAAATTCGTAATCTTTTCTGTTCTAAGATATCACAATATGAAAAAATAAATCAAATTGAATGCAATCAAGCTAAAAATCTTGAAGATAATTATCAACGACATGAAATGAATCAAGAGCCTAAGGAACCTCTTGTGGTAGCCCAGAATTACATTGGCAAAAAATTACGAGTGCCAAAAAAGATTATTAAGGCAATTTCATATAAATGGTAGCAACACAATTAGTTCGTGAACCTTTTGTTAGAAAGGGTGTAAGAAAAAGGTATACATGAAACGAGCAAAATTGTTTAAGACGTACAATAAGGGAATTAAAGAAATTGATGAAAGTTATTCTCAGTAACTATATGACATATGACATATTAGTAACAATTATATTGAAGAGATAAAACAATTACATATTAGGGATGAATTAAATAAAAAATGCACAAGATTGGAATAATTTAAGAGTTGGAAATGTTAAAATAGCACTAATAAAAAGAGTTATTCCAGATTTAAAGAAAGAATTCAATTTTTATCATCATCGAAGCCAAAGAACATGTTATGCAAACATGTTGTAGAAAAGGTCTGATTTAATTAGGAAAGCTTCATTTTCAGTCAAGTTTCCTCACGATCAAGACGCAGAATAAGATACGAATAAATGATCCATTTTTTATAAATACATTAGATCTCCGTTTACATCTGAAGCTGCCTCACTTATTGAAAACCCTAGTCAAACATTCCGATAAAATCTTTTAAAAAAAAACTTTATAAGAATAAAATCGGAAAATTGCATCAGAAACATCACTTGTTTTATAAGAATTTATAAGAAAATGTCTTATGGATACTTATTTCAGAAATCCACTTTTTATAAGTATCCATAAGACATTTTCTTATAAATTCTTATAAAACAAGTGATGTTTCTGATGCAATTTTCCGATTTTATTCTTATAAAGTTTTTTTTTAAAAGATTTTATCGGAATGTTTGACTAGGGTTTTCAATAAGTGAGGCAGCTTCAGATGTAAACGGAGATCTAATGTATTTATAAAAAATGGATCATTTATTCGTATCTTATTCTGCGTCTTGATCGTGAGGAAACTTGACTGAAAATGAAGCTTTCCTAATTAAATCAGACCTTTTCTACAACATGTTTGCATAACATGTTCTTTGGCTTCGATGATGATAAAAATTGAATTCTTTCTTTAAATCTGGAATAACTCTTTTTATTAGTGCTATTTTAACATTTCCAACTCTTAAATTATTCCAATCTTGTGCATTTTTTATTTAATTCATCCCTAATATGTAATTGTTTTATCTCTTCAATATAATTGTTACTAATATGTCATATGTCATATAGTTACTGAGAATAACTTTCATCAATTTCTTTAATTCCCTTATTGTACGTCTTAAACAATTTTGCTCGTTTCATGTATACCTTTTTCTTACACCCTTTCTAACAAAAGGTTCACGAACTAATTGTGTTGCTACCATTTATATGAAATTGCCTTAATAATCTTTTTTGGCACTCGTAATTTTTTGCCAATGTAATTCTGGGCTACCACAAGAGGTTCCTTAGGCTCTTGATTCATTTCATGTCGTTGATAATTATCTTCAAGATTTTTAGCTTGATTGCATTCAATTTGATTTATTTTTTCATATTGTGATATCTTAGAACAGAAAAGATTACGAATTTTATTGCTTGTTTTTAACTTTCATTATGATATGAACTCAAAGATATCATTGATAATTTTCCAGTTGCTGTTTAATTTATACCACATCAGCTAAATAAGAATATTAAACCTATTATCTACCAGACTATATTCTCGAAATTATTTGAATTCTCAGAGAAAACTTGAGATAAAAAAAATCCATTCATTTAATTATAAATATTACTAATAAACAAATAGATAATTTCAATTTTATTTAGGCATTAATCATTTTATATTTAGACATCGTTTGCTTGAATTTAACGTCAAATACTTCATGTCTTATAAATTACTGTAAAAGTAGTAAATATTTATACATGAGGCACTTTTAATCTACTCCAAAATCAGTTTCATTTGTAAATAAATGTCGATTTGTCGTCTTATATACTAGAATTTATGTAATATTTTAACTTAATTTTAGTCTTGGATAATGATTTAACAATTTATTCTAAATAATGTAATGAAATAAATATGAATAAATGAACTTTATATAATATTTAAATTTACTAAGATGATTTTAAATATGTTTTGAAAGTTGTAAAAAAAATTGCCAATGTTTTACAGCTGTATAAATAAAATCATTAAAATTACGTTGTTGATTTTGTAATTTACATTTTCTTAAATAGATGTAAATTTCAAAAATTAAACATTAAGTTTTGCGACTGGATAAATTATACTATTGAAAATATATTATTTACAAGAAGTATTCTGATTTATACGATATTTAGTTGGTAATAAAAGAAAAGATAATTTCATTTAAATTTGTTCTTATTACTTTCTTAAAATTAATTTATCATGTGGAGCCATAAATAAATAAATAAATAAAACTAAAATATAATAAGGAGAAAGTACATTTTTATTTTTATAAAAACTCACCACGTGAGAATAGTGAACAATTTTAATAATTTGTCATATGCACTTGTAACACTTAAATGTATATGTTTCATTCTTTTAAAGTTTCATTTTAAATGCAAATATGAAAATATCTTACATTATGTATATTTCACTTATCAAATACTATTTATTTTCTTACAAAAATTTTCAAAATATTAAATTTATTAAAAAAAAAGATACATTGAAATAAAAGAACTTGAAGAAATTATTGTACCAACTTTAGAATATTATTTCTCATCATAGAGAGGAGTGTCATTACCAAGCAACATACTCTGAGGACTAGAATTCGTATTTGGTGTGTCGCTTGGTGATCTTCCTGAATAACGATTTCGATTATTTGATCGACTTCTTTCATTTCCGTATCTTTGAGGTCTTCTTGGATCATTATATATCGGACTATTATATCTAAAATTGAAAAAAAATGGAGTGAGATTAATTACTTTACATGGTAATACAAATAAAAGTTGATAAAGTAGATTATTTCTTCAATATTCTCTTTCTGTAAAATATGTTTAATTACTGAATTAACTTTAAAATGCATAGCAAGTAATGTCATGAATTAACTTACGGGTCTTTTGGAGTAGTCGAATTTCCAGTAGGCCAATCATCACTGGAAGAGTTCTTCCAATCATTCGAATTAGCCGTTTCACCTGTAGGCCAAGCATCATCAGCATTTGAATTAATTGTATTGCCTGTTGGCCAAATATCATTGGTAGAATTTTTCCAATCATTAGAACCAACTGGATCGCCAGTAGGCCAGTCATCATTGGCAGAATTCTTCCAATTATTAGAAGTAGCTGTATCACCCGTAGGCCAAGCATCATCAATATTCGAATAAATTGTATTTCCTGTAGGCCAAGAGTCATCGGCGTTCGAATTTGTAGCACTGCTTGTGGGCCAAGCATCACCAGCCGAGTTATTCCAATTTGTTTTATTTCGCGTATTGCCACGTCCTCTACCACGTCCCCTGTCTTGTTCTCTGCCGCGTCCTCTGCCACGTTCTCTACCACGTCCTCTGAAATTTGATGATCGACCACGACCACAACCCTTATCTCGATCACGATAGCGGCTACTAGATGTACTGCTTGTAGACCATGTATCATCAGCAGAATTTTTCCAATCATTAGAAGTAGTTGTATGACCTGTAGACCAAGCATCATCAGCAGATTTTTTCCAGTCATTCGAACCAGCCGAATCACCTGTAGGCCAAGCATCATCAGCATTTGAATTAATTGTATTGCCTGTTGGCCAAGCATCATTGATAGAGTTTTTCCAATCATTAGAAGTAGTTGTATGACCTGTAGACCAAGCATTATTAGCCGAGTTATTCCAATCTCTTTTATTCTGTATATTGCTACGTCCTCTGCCACGACCTCTGGGATTCGATACTCGTCCACGACCGCGACCACGAAATTTCTTTTGGTACCTAGAGTTATCATCAGAATTATATGGAGTATGCGGTGAAGCCTCATATGGTGTCATATATGGAGTTTGAGCTGAAGGAGTGTACGGAGTATTTGAATTTGAGGTTGTATTTTCATATTCAAAAGCTCCCGATATTCCTGGTGTGTCAGGAGGATAATGATAAGAAAGTTTTTGATCCATACTCTGAATTATATTTGAGTTTATATCTTCCATTTCAGATTGTTGAATTTTGGGAGTCTGGATTGGAATTGGATCTCGAAAATGTTCTTTAAACCATTTTACCAAGCTGTCAAAACGAGTAAATATTTGTCCACGATATTTAAATCCTTCTGGCACCACCGAAATATATTCATGTAGACATTCAAGTCGAGGAAGATAGGAAAGGAGAAACTTTCCTGGATAATCTTTTGCAGCAGAAAAGATATACGGGATTCCTCCAGGATTTTGTTTCTTTTTTTCATTTAAAAGCTCTTCAGCTTTATCTTTTATCCCATTCACATCGGTTTCATAATATTTGTAGTCAAGCAACTCGGAGACATAAGCAGCCATGGGATTCACGTATCTCGCAATAACTTCATCCAGGTCTTCAAATTCTTCATTACCGATCCATAAGCTTTGACCTAAAGAGAAAGCATTTGCTTTGCCTTCTTCTCTTATATCAATGTGTTGATGAATACCTTCAGTTACTTTCCATGTAACAGTAAGGTGGTCTGAACCTTTACTACTAGGTCTTATGATTACTTCTCCGAGTTTCATAGTTTTCATGCGTTTTTCTGCTTCTCCAAAACTAATATTATAGAAAGAAGGATGTACAATAACACGTTTTACATAAGTCTGCCTTTGTTTAATTTTCTTGATATCTTCTTCTCGTTTAATATCTTTCTGTTCCTCTTCTGTATCATAAAATGAATCTTTAGTAGGTCTGAAATAAAAAAATAATTATCAATCCAATTGTATTGAAATATTATAATTATTATAAATATTTAAAAAATAAAAATGTACCTCCATTTATGTTCTTTATCAGCAAGATCACTGCTTTTACTAGTACATTCAACACTAAATCGTTCAACATCAATTTTAATAATACGACAATGAATACTTTGACCGACTGTAACTCTTTCTTCAGGATTTTTTACATGTTTATCAGACAAATTTTTTATATGGATGTATCCAGAAACTCCATTATCTAAACGAAGTCTAATACCAGTAGCTTTGCCAGGACAAGTTCCAGCATCAAAATGATTCCAGACTTCAGACAATTCAGGAAAATCTTTTTTCAAACAAAATGGACATTGCCATAGTCCAGACTCATCATTTTTTACGGGATTAGCTTGATCTAATTGTTCTCTATCTGGTGTTCGATAGTTGATGCTAATAACTTCGGCTAAAATTAATTTTCCAATATAGAAAGTTTCCGTACTTTCTTTTGTCAAAATATCAAACAATTTTTCTGGAGTAGGAGTTTCGTAAATAGTTCTAAGTTCTTTATAGCGTTCAGTTAACTCAGCTCTGATATCATATAATGTAATAGATTTATTACCAAAGCCTTGTCTCTCTAATTCCTCAGCAAATGCATCTAAATCCAAGTCTTTTAATTTTTCTGGAGTTTCTAAAATTTCTTCTAAAGCTCCAGCAGGATTGCCATCTTCATCATCATATTCTAAAGCGTCTACAGCCATCTTTCTAGCCCATTCATACGTTTCAGGATGAACTCTCGAGCCATCTAACACTTCAACATAAGCTTCAGTACTATCTCCGAGACTGTTGGTGTCAATCTTGATAAACCCAGCGCAATTTATGAAAACTTTTGGACCCATATGACAAATTGTGACTAGTTGAGTTCGATTTTCAAGCCTCTGATTTGTTTGTTTAAGTACTTTTATTAAAGTTTGGCTTTTTCTTGGCCCTAAACCACAGACAAATTGGAGAAGATTGCTTGCATATGGTTGTTGAACTGCTTTGTTGAGATCTACTCCTACTTCATTGACTCTGTTAATAAATTCTATGTAAAGATTTTCCAACAATTCATCTTTTGGTAACTGATCTTGAAGAGGATGGAATTTAAGACACAAAATCTCATTATCAGGTGTGCATAGTTGTGAAAATTCTAGAAGAGGATCTTGAAATCGTCGAGCTAGAGAAATAGCTTGCCGCAGAAGTTCAGGATAATCTTTGAACTCTGATATTCCTCTACTGCTATTAGCATAAACCTTCGCTAAATCATTATCGATTATTTCTACCTGAATAAGAGGGAACTGTTCCTCACTAGCAAGTTCTGAGAGACATTCTTTAATTTCATCAACTATAATTAATGCTTCTTTGGACTCTCCACCGACAACGATAACATGTGGCTTCTTTTCTAAGATAAAATTCTTTATGGCTAATAAGTCAACTTCTTTCATAGCTTTTTCATGTTCTCTAAAGCTGTTCTTCCTTTTTAATAAGTGAGGTAACTTCAAAAAATCAGTGCATTCTTTATCAGGAGCAATAATGCACGTAAATGCTGCTTGAGTATAGTCTGGAACATATGAAATCGCCATCACACGGATACCTTTACTAGTATTCCATTCTGCGTCCACTTCCTCAGGAAACTCGACTGAAAACGGAGCTATTTTAATCCAATCAAACATTTTTCTACAACATATTTGCATCACATACTCTTTAGCTTCAGCAATAAGACTAGATTTTAATTCTTTCTTTAAATTTGGAATAATCATTTTGTTTATCGCCATTTCTAGACTTGCAATTCTTAAATTATTCCAGTCTTGTACATTTTTGCTGAATTCGTCCCTAATATATAACTGTTTTATCTCCTCAATGTAATTGTTGCTAGTATGTCCTTCGATTACATCACTTAATATTATTGTGATCAATTTATCCTCTTCAGCCATGGCCAGTTTAAGAAACTGATCTTGTTGAAATTCACGAATTGGTTTATCTTTTAAATATTTCATAGTATAAATAGAATGATTCTCATCAATTTCTTTCATTCCTTTCTTTGTAGGTTTTACTGATAATTTTGCTCGTTCCATGTACATTTCTCTCATACATTTTCTCACAAGAGGTTCACGAGCTAATTGCATAGCTACCATTTGCTGAACTGCTTTTAAGATTTCTTCTGGAGTTTTTAATTGTTTTCCAATGAAACTTTGAGCCAACGTGAGAGGATCAATAGGCTCTTGATCTACTTCGTGTCGCTGATAATTATCACGAAGATTTTCAGCAAAATCCTCAGGAGTTAAACCAAATTTCTTGGCAAAGGAATCTAAACCAGCTTTTCTACAAATAGTATAAGGCCCAGTTCTCACAGCTTGTTTCAGAGTTTCATGAGATTCATCTTCTTCCAGATCAACATCTTCCATAAAATCAACTTCCTCTCCATTTTCTTCAGCTTCCAATAATTGCTGTCTTCTTTTTTGAATTTTCTCTTGTTTCCGAGCCTCTTTTTCTTTTTTTCTAATAGCTTCTTGCAAACCTGGAATTTCATGGCTATAATAAAGCCTAAAATGATTGTGTACGTCTTTTAATTCTTCTTCAGTTTGTATATTTTTTACTCGGTCTATATCATCCTCTTTAATAACTCGAATACTATCTGGTAAAGGTGCGTCAGGATTTTTCAAAATCTCGTCTAATTGGAAACTTCTCATTTTTTCAAATAAGGAAAGTAAATTTTCTTTTCTCTGCTTCAATTGACACCATTTTGCATCAAATTTATATACTTTCCACAGATCATTAATGTTTAATTCCGGATTAACATACTCTTTTCTATAAAATGAAATAAATGGTACTTCGAAATTTTGATTTCTCATAAAATCTAATGCTTTTTTAATTTTGGCTACGGTCTGAGGGCCTTTTTGAGATTGATTATTTACTTCATCGTCGAAAGAGTCTTGTGAACAAATCTTTGAACGACAAAATGCTTGTTGGTAAATCCATTCTGCTTCGTCATCTAATTCATCAGAACCTTCAAGGACTGGAATGATTGGCGTTGAACGTAATTGCATTCTTTCTGGAATATCAGTATTACGAATTTCATTATCTATATCCGTAAAATGTCCTCGTCTTAGCTCACTTGGTTCGTAAATGTCAAAAATGCTTTTTCTTGTGGTATTTTTTTTGAGTTGTTTCTTTGGCCGTTGTGATTTTTGGCTCTCTTCTCCGACATATTGATCTTCCTCTTCTTCATAATCTTCATCTTCATATTGCTCAAACTCATCATAATCAAAATCAACGCCAAAAATATCCTGAGCCTCTTGAAGAGCAATATCAGAAAACATTGCTCTCTTTTTCCGTCTTCTTTCAGCTACTGGTCGACCGTCATCGTCCACAATAAAATCATCCGAATCTGAATATTCTCCTTCACTTTCTTCTACTTCGAGTACCTCAGGTTCTTTTCTATGGTTTCTTTCACTCCTCCTTTTATTTTCCTGAAGATATAAATTGAAAATTTAAATTTCTATCTGTTTGAAAGAATATGATACAACCAATACTATAATAAACTAACTAAATAATCCTTACATCTCCTGAACCTTCTTCAAAAAGCTCATTGGCTATTGCTTCTCTTTCTTCACTGACCCTTTGTTCTTCATTGTCATCTGATTCCACAACTTTCATTCGTTTCAATCTTCTAAAACGTTTCTGCAATGATAAAAATTTACAATTGTTATTAGCTCACGCAATTAAGTTTTTCCGGAGTTTAATAAAAAAGATAATGAAAATCTTACCCTTTCCACAGTGATACCAAGATTCTCTTCAATAAGATCGTAATCATCATCTTCAAGCCTATCATCGAAATCTTCATCATCACTTTTTTTCCTCTTTCTCGGATTGTCAGATATATCACTATCTTCACCTTCACTTTCTTCAAAATGATTATCGTCAATTAAGTCTTGCATCTCATGTCGCAATTTCTCCTCGTCATCTGTAACATAGTAATTTCCTTATAATCATGATATAGTAAATTGGAAAAACAAGAAAGGAAGTAAATTATTGCAGATCAGAGAAAGAGATGTGTATAGAAGTTTAAAGCTATGTACTGTTTGAAGATCATTTCAGGTCACCCCAAGCTTCCTGAGCTCCTACCTGGTCCCATAAAAATACATACCAAATTTTCCGGTCACATTGGCCCTTCTGAAATAAACTTTCATTCATGTCTTTTTTCTCTGTTACAGACCATGCATTTGCCATTTGTACCTACAACCTAAATGGCAATTTACACTTAATTTATGAGAGTTTGCTTCCCACATAATTATTCGTCATATTATCGCAAAGAGCAATAACATTTGTGTTTATGAAAAACTGAAAAATGTCGAAATGATCTTTTCACTGGTCTTACTATACGTACTGAACACTTGCACACAAACGAATTCGTTACGAGAAAGAATATTACATTTTTAAACTTTAAAAAGAGAAAAAGGTATCAACTATTGCCGAGAGTAATATATTAATATTGAAGTACAAAACTAACCTTCTTCTTCCTCCTCACTGTCTTCAAATGCCCTTTTCAATTTACCTTTCCTTCGACGGTTTATTCCTTCATCATTATTTTCGTGCATCTCCTCTTGCTAAATTACATAAAAATTTTGAAAATCATATATCACGTCAAGAAATGCATCAATTTTGTGACTTATAATGAAATGAATCTTCCAAGTAGAGTAATAAATAAGAAATTTATATATTAATAATTAAATTATTACCTCACTTTCATCTGTTTCAGACTCAAAATAGTCAGCCATTATTTAAAAATATAAATAATGTATTATAGTTGAAGAGAATGAAAATATCAAATGTAAAATTTTTATTTTGAAAACACTTTTTCAGATTACTCGTCCTACACAACAACAATCGTTGAACTAAGAAGGATCCTTCCGAAGCTATGCGGGCTTTGTTCTCTCCACAATCTTCTCTATTCCCTTCTCGCTTCCGATTGCTTATCTCGAAATCAGATTACGATCATTGTCGATTACACTCGAAGTTTAAAGTGAAATTAATAAATATAATTAATTATATTTCTATGACGAAAATATGTTTACACAAATGATGTGATTAAATAATTTATAAATATTGTAATTGAAATAATTAAATGAAATTACAAATAAAATAAAGCAGTACTTATTATCTCATCGGCGTCGCGTATTATAAACTTTTTCGGGTAAATTCGGAATCATTCGGCCACTCTTTTCTTCGATAAATTTTCGTGCTTGAATGCGTTACGTAATCGAAGATGGTGTCGAAGGAATCGATATATCGATTGTAAGCGGATTAATTGTACAAATGTAATTGTTGATGATTAATGGCAATCGATAGTTGTGATTCGATTCTGATAACACTAGAGGTAAAACATCATCAACTGTCAGTCAAATTTATTTATACAAAACTTGTTTTAACATAACCATGTAGATAGTTTTTAATGGTGTTATTACAAGGAATGTTAATTAAATTAAACTTATGAATGTCTTTTTTTTTAAGATAAATGGTTGTTATTTATATTAAAATATTAGGAAAATTTTTTGAAAGCAAAGTTTTAGATAGGTCATGATATTTTTCTTCATTGAACAATTATTACATTTGACAATTCAGAGATAATGGAGATGCTATTTGATAGAAGAGCTGAATATCACTATAGTCTCGAAATGACTTTAAAATACCTATTCATGTTATTTGCAATCATTGAAGCAATAGAACTGCAAGTATAATACAATTTTAGCTTAAATATTATGCACATATGAAAGCTATGAAACTGGAAGATTCGATTCCATTCATTGGAGCTTGCAATACAAACGATAATTTTGAAGCGAACAAGTTTAATTTCAAATAATCATGTTAATTTTATATTAATGCTACAAAGTATCTACCAAATACCTCTTCACTTCTACTTCAAAATAAATTATAATTCAAAGTACGTACTCTAACCTAAAAAGTCCTGAACATATTTGAACTAAAAGTAAAATTGTACATCCAACTTCATTTTTAAACTTGTTTAAATGAATAAATACGATTTGTATTGGAACCAGCCTTCTTATATTTGTAGCATATAAACTAAGTATAAATATCGATAATCTTCCAGAACTGAATAATTGAAATACAATAAAAAGAAAGTAAGAGTGGATTATGAGATCTAATCTGCAATAATAGATTATGATAATTGATATAATTGCAAAAGTTCACAATAGAAATTTTTAATAAAATTCACTCTTTGTTCAGGATAAAGCGTTTCTATAACTTCATTCTTTTGATATTCTACTACACAGTAAAAAAGTATTTGAAAGCGGAATTGAGAATTTTGATGATGACTTTTTAACGCAATTTTCAATAACAGAGTCCAAATAAAAGAACTTAACATGTTTCCACATTGCAAGTTTAAATTATGATCCAAAAATAACAGAAACTTTATCAAGATTCTGTGCAACGATAAAAATGATCTAATATTGGAGTCAATTTTAATTTTTTCAATAAAAATAGAGACACTGCTCTTCGTACTGCTTTAGAAAGATAATTTGCTGAAGTATGGCGCTAGTATTAATATTTTAGATAAAATAGATCAAAATCTTTTTTAAAATGCACACGATGCTTCTTAATGATTCTCATTTAAATGGACGATTAATTAAAAAATATTATTTTCCTATTCATTCTCATTAGGACGTATAGGGTTGTCCTATCCATTCTCTGTCATTCTCGTATCATAGTTTCAAATTTTTCTACCACCTGTAAGTTCTGGTTCGTTCTTATAATTTTTTTATGAGAACCAGGCTACCTTCCGATAGAACTTATTAATTCTCATAAAATGTTTTTGGGTTTCAATAGTATTCCGATAGATTCTATTGGATGGTTTTACCAGAGGTATATATGAAAAATTGTGAACTTGAGAAAAAGGAGTATTGGCATCAATAATACGACTTTAACTATGACTCTAATGTTACCAAAAGTTTATGATAAAACATTTCTATTATATATTAATATTGAAAAATATTGGATCTAAGACAAAGTTATGATATAGGTTGATTAGTTTATGTAAAAGATATTACAGGATAAATAGTACAAGTTAAATTTATATATAAAGAGTACAAAATCAAGCAATTATATACATCAGTTGTTTCTACAAATTATAGTACATTTTCACTGCGCTTAGTATATGTATTGGTAGCGGAATTTCTTGTGGAATCCACATCTCCAAATATGGTTTATTAGTACGTTCTCCTTGTCCATTCGTGAATCAGTACTCTTTTCGAACATGAGGCACCATCGTTTTTTAATTTTCAAAACAGAGTATACCTGTAAGTAAATATTGTTTTAACTAAGCATTAAATTTATGGTTATAATTTTTAAAAATTAAGCAACAATCAGTCTTTTATTTCGTATAATCGCGATTCATTAAAAAAAAATTCACGTAAGCAAAATTATCGAGTAAATACAATTTTTTTTTGTTTTATCAACTATACGGAGAGAAACATTGATTAGTGTTTCTCTCTGTATAGTTAATAAAACAAAAAAAAACTGTATTTACTCGATACATACCTTTTCAGGTCTTTTATTCGATGAGCCTAATGCCTTAATTGAGTTATCCGTGTTCAAGCTTTTGATTAGTTTTTTAGCTGTTTTCCGCCGTCTATTCGGAGTTGGAGTTGCTGATTTGTTTCTGGCATAATTGTCCAGTTCTTCGTAAAAATTGCAACTACACAATTTTTTAACTGCTCCAGGTTGTTTGCATTTTGATTTTGCTCGACATCTTAAAACGCGACTGCTGGGGATGTTATTCGAAACTTTCTTATTTCGTCCCTCACGAACTCCACTGGTTGTTCGTTGTGCAGCAGGAGCCATTGTTGGTGCAATGTATCACAACACACTTGAGATTATCGAACTGGTATATTTTTGACAGTTAAGAAAAAGACAGAGCGCTAAAAGACACTTGTAATATGTTTTATCCACTTAATGCTCAATGGCAGACTGTTGATGTTTCTGATGATGCACAGGTTTTAAATTGGCCAGTGCACCAAACTCCCACCACTTCTAATGCATTTTTCAGAAAGGCTCAAGTTATTTTCCCGAAAATTAGTGGCGGGGACAGTCCATGAATGTCAGTGGCAGAAATGAGCCTGGACGCACTCTCTGGCAAAAATGGGCGGACTTTGACTTTCGTAAAGCACCAGTAAAAGGTCTACTTAGTGAAGTCTTATCTCTCTCACTTTTACTCACGGTAACAATAGTTCTGAAAAACACACCTTGAGAACCACCTTTGTTTTGCCCACCCACGAAACGAACTCTTTACGAGATTTTTCTTCGATTAACTCCAGAAAATGTAAAACGATAATTTTTTCAAACTGTTTATAACAAATTACAATTGTTATAATCAATATCCAATCTTATAATATTATGTGAAGTCATTAACAATAATATTTTGCCAATATTATGATGTGGGTGCTTCTATCATAATGGCTCGCATATGGAAAAGAAAAGTTTTTTTAAATATCTATAAAACGATTAATATGTTATAAGCTAAAATTTGATGATTTATTTTCAAGACAAAACTAGATATTTATGTTTGGACAGTGACTTCTCTCTCGCTCCAATTAATCAAGCCGATATAAAAAAAATATATTTTTTAAAGAATATTTTATTTTGAACATATATTAAAAAATAATTTTTCGGCCAAATCTTATATAATCGAATAGATAGAAATATATAAAAAATGTTCAGAAAAAATATGAAATATATAAGGATATTACTGAATATATTTATATAAAACAATATACATTTATGTAATTGACTATATAAATGTATTTTTCTTTTTATATAGAATCAAGTAGATAAAAATATCAAAACTATACAAATAAAACAAAATAAATATATTGATGTATTCAATTACATAATTATATATTTTTTTATATTTTATTTTTATATTTCTCTCTATTTGATTATGTCTGAAAAAGTATATTTTAATATATTTTCTCAATAGTAAAATAAAAAAATAAATTTTTTCAAAATTTCTAAAGACTCCAATTACTCCAAGATCAAAGTTCTCAATAATTAAAAAACACATCAAAGATGTTTAAGAAGTGAAAAAATTGATTATATTGTTAATTTTATAGAATAATAACTCAGTCAATTGACTGTTAAAATAGGGAAGAATATTATTTAAATAAAAAATAATAATTTATTGGGTGAAAGGAGAAACAAATCATATAAGAACATGAAATTTTTGGAGTAAAGAAAAAGACAGGAAGAGTAGACAAAAATGAAATTAGAAATTTTCTATCTATGTAAATTTCAATGAATCTTTAGATGATTATGTGTATGCAGCAGTGGGTAACGGTTACTTACAAATTTTTTTACAGCTTTTAAAATTGAAAATTGACATCAATGTGGTAAATCAGAGAACAGAACTTAATCTTCTGACAATAGTTTGCTTGAATAAAACTCATGAAATTATCAAAAGTCTGCATGATGTTCTTTTAGATGTATAAAAATATCATTTCAATAGGTGAAGTCTTTTTATACATTAGAGTTCTAAATCATAATTCAATGATGATAAACCTTTTGTCAATATAAGATGTGAAGATAAAAGATGATCCAACATTTCTTCATATTACTTACCTTGCTATGAAAATTGATTGTAAATAAATTTTTCTTATATTTTTTAAACACAACATTAATATTCGTTGTGTGGATAAATTAATTTTATTTTCATTAATAATTTTCTCAATTTAAATCAGAAAACTATATGGTTCAGATGAATAATGCATTATTTATCTTGCTGTTGAAAACAAATAATGTAAAACTCATTAAACATTTTGTTTATACTTAAGTAAATTTCAATTTTACCAATGAAAGATGAAGACACATCTTTAGATAGCTTCCGAAAAAAATTGAAAATATGACTAGAAATCTAATGAAATACACAGTTAATGCTAATATTTTGGATAAAACAAGTCAAACTTTAATTTAAAATCTCATGATGTATATATATATATATATATTTTAACATTCAATCAATGACGGGAAAGAAAAATTACTTTGATTAGAAAAAAACGTTGTAAGAAATAATTATAAGTAATTTCGAATATGTTACGAAGAAATTTAGAGATTTAGCAGTAGTGATACCGGAAATGAATATAATTATTAATTAATATTATTGAGTAATTTTTTTTGTATTTATTTTGAGAAATTAACATTTTTAACTAATATAATAAGAAATCAACAACACAACAAACTTTATTGATTTAATAATAATTATTATTATTATTAGAATATTAAAATTTTAATCGTTATTAATGAAATTAATATTTATTAAATAATAATTATCAGTGTTAACAAGAATGATTAAATACTTTTGTTTGTGAATAACGATATTAATTAATTTATTATTTATTAAAATATTATAACATATTAAATTCAACTCGATAAAAAAAATTTCCAAAGACGAATCTTATTTTTTTTATCTTCCATTATCAGTAAATTTATGCACATATTTTCCACAATTTTAATTGTAAATAATATATTTCAAGAAGTGTGATTTTTCCAGTAGCATTAAAAGATATTTTGTTATTTTAGGTTACAAAATATTATAAATTATCGTTTGGCTTCATTTATTGTGATTTATTACAGTTTTAATGAAACATCAATTCTTGATTCAGAAAAAAAAACCCTACGCAAATATTGTGACTTTAGAATTGTGTTGACAGCAACGTAAACTTTACAGCCAACCATATATTGTAAAATTGTAAAATTAAACAAGAAATTAGAAAACCTGTGACCTAGAAAAAATAATAAACTGCATGCATCTTAAAGCAGACATGGACGGGACTCTTCAAAGTTCCCGTGACCAAGTACTTGGGTCACTTAATGAAATTTTCATCGTGGGTCTTATTGTATGCGTATTCATAATCTTAGAAAAGACTTCAATTTAAGAGACGTAATCCATATCTGTCTTAAAGACAGTAAAACACTACCTTTATTTTTGCTTATTGTTATACATGTCAAGTGGCGTAATAAAATCGTCAAACAATTTTCGACCGTTCGTTGCCCTTTTACTCGTTATTTCTTCAAATCCATCAATAAATAGGCAAGGATACAACTAGCGTATGATGGTTGCAGAATGATACCTGCATGAATATATTTTCCAGAGTGCATTTTCTTAGAAGTAGGATACATTAACTAATAAGTAAATTCTTAGAGAGACATTAAGGTGAGAGTTGAATGAATTTTAAGCGAAAATACCTCATTGTTTTGAATACTCACAGTAGTATATAAAGAGCAATCGTATTAAAGCACAATTAAGGTGAGCAAAGTTAACTACAAAACTTCTGATGTTCAAAAGACATCCAGCGGCTTTAATTACAAGAAACCTTAAGAACATCAGAATTGTTCATAGAAAACAACAGTTTAGGTCCAGAAGATCGTGCTCAAGATATAGAGATTAAAGTAGCTACATGTTAAAGATGTTTCCCAGGTGGTAGACAAAATCATGATAAATAAATAAAATAATATATCATACTAATTTATGAGTTTTCTTGCATGAAAATTACAAGCTATAATTATGACTTAAATTTTAGTAAATTAAAAAAAAACATTCAATTCAAACGAAATGATGTTCCTTTTTGAAATTTAATAAATTGATTCTTGAAATCCATATCTAAGATATCAAAAATTCTAAATTTAGTAAATGTTAGTCTATTTAGTAATCATTAAAATGATTTCGAAGAAGCTGCTATAATATATGATCACCTAAAGTTTGTTTTACAACTTGAACAACATAAATTCGATATCATCCCAGTGCATAATATTTATTGAAAAGTATCAACATTAAAATTCCAAACAATTGAATTTTGGTAACTATAAAAACATATGTAAATTTCAAATTTTAACATTTCTATTAATTGTTATGATTTACTTGAAAATAAAAAAAATGTTCATGGTACAACGCCAATAATTTTATGGCATTATGGAGAAACGTGTAGAGAAGTTCCAAAGTTTTTAGCTGCTAGTTGTATTGGTCGACAGATTTATTTATTCGTGCAACAATACATCTAGTAGCGAAAAATTCAGGAAGAATCCAATGAACTATTTCTGTGATGATTTCATTTATTTGGCTGTAACTCGTAATCTATCATAAACTTGAGCTTCTTCGTAATGATGATTGTGATGGACATCTAATATCGAGTAATCCACAATTTCTCATCGCCGCTTGTGTTGCATGGTAGATCAATTAAATTACTATGCAACACAAGCGGCGATAGCGAATTTTGGAGGAATCGTTGATGAACTTCTCATTTTTGTTGATAGATCTCTAAATGGTCGCTGAAAACTAGAAAATACAATTACCTGTAATAATAACCAGATATCCTTGTTGATTCTAATTTTTTAATGTATAGAGTTGTAGCTTGTAATTTGTCATTAACTTGACTGCAGTTTATTTCCAATGATGATGATGATCTACTTCTAATGTAAAGCAGTGCGAATGGATGTTCCACAATTTCTCATCGCCGCTTGTGTTGCATGGTAGATCAATTAAATTACTATGCAACACAAGCGGCGATAGCGAATTTTGGAGGAATCGTTGATGAACTTCTCATTTTTGTTGATAGATCTCTAAATGGTCGCTGAAAACTAGAAAATACAATTACCTGTAATAATAACCAGATATCCTTGTTGATTCTAATTTTTTAATGTATAGAGTTGTAGCTTTGTAATTTGTCATTAACTTGACTGCAGTTTATTTCCAATGATGATGATGATCTACTTCTAATGTAAAGAAGTGCGAATGGATGTTCCACAATTTCTCATCGCCGCTTGTGTTGCATGGTAGATCAATTGAATTACTATGCAACACAAGCGGCGGTAAC